ATGCTTCATCTGGCAGAGCTTGCATTTCTCTGACCTGTAATGACTCAGCCTGAACTCAGAAAGGGGGTCACAGAAAAGAAGCCATCGTCATGGGCAAGAAACGCAAGCCCCTTCGGGAACCACAATTGGACACATACGAAACGGGCAATACTCAACCATTTCTTGTATATCCGACCTACAAACATCAGCGACCAGTAAAAGGGAACTTACCTTAGATGTCCAAAAGGCAATGGTTGAGTCACCCACATAAGGAGATACAACAACCGCAGGCCCATGTCATCAGCCACCCTCCGGGTTGGAGTTCCAAAATTTCCGGACTGGCCCCTCAAACTCCCCGAACCCCGTACAGCGGGTCAGGAGCCCGCCTGTCGACTTCCACTGTTGAATACGCAGTGGCAAGAAACCAACGTTTTCCCTTGAATCGCTTTTTGTGAAAGATCACGTGCTTGCCCTGATGCTTGCCCAGTGACCATAGTACAAATGAAACCTGCTCTTTTGTTTGTGTTGCTCTATCTTGAAGGGAACCCGCCATAATCAAGAACACACAATTGATCAAGCTGACGATTGCCTGGTGACATGGTCATTTACAAACCCAGGGGCACAACACCATGGTTGACTCAATCCCGTAGTGTTCAGACCATCTAGAGGAGGTTTCGCTACCTTTGGGCACCACACCTGCTCCATTACGTGGACGCGCTCCGCCAGCGCCAGCGCCAGAACACAGCCCCAACGGGCGCACCACATAAGTTGACATGGAACGATAAATTTTCGCAACCCACAGGCCAGGCTGAGCCACGGCTGCGAAAGCAACCATGAAGTCGTTCGACAAGTTACAACCAGCGGATACAACTTACACTTCCTCTCAACATCGCACTTGGATCCCTCAGAGCACCATGTTAGCGCCAGGCAGAGAGCCTTACTCAGCTTGCTTTAAGCACACACCCGCTGAAACTTGGCTCTGAGTCCAAGTTTGATCTGCTTCCATGACAGATTCAGGCACCTCTCGCCCCATGTCGCGGTGACTTCTTCTCTTCTCTTGCAACACAGGCTGCCCGGCGCCAAACAAACAATGACCCCGGAAAAGAAAAAAAACGGATGGAAACAAAAACCACCAAGCAAGGGCAATATTTGGACGCGCAGCTGGAAATCCAAGGCTCTTTCGCTGGAAACTCGTTGAATGTAGAAATCCAATGCGCTCAGAGAAAGCTCAGCATCTCCGCCGACAGCTCCACTTCCTTCTCCTCTTTGAGCTCCGGCAACTTCTGGCGGGCCTCCTGCACCCGGGCGGGAGCCTGGGTGGGTTTATTGCAGCAACAGCAACAATTTGAAGCGCAAAATCGGGACCGAACAGCGAGCTAAGCAACTAGCCAACGGGCTATTTAACGAGCTATTTAACGAGCTAGCTATCTAGCTGACGCACGAGCTGAGAAACTCATCCGATGATTTGCTTGTGGTACACTAGCTTGTGAAGCACTAGGCTTTTGGCTTAGCTTATGAAACTGACTACTCGAACCATCATTTGCCAACATAGCCAACCATCTGGCTAGCTGATTGTAGGAGTAGCTCACAAGCTCAAAATTGCAACGCCTGAGTAACCAACCAACCAATTGACTAACCGCCTGCAGTGGATAACTTTATGGCTATTGGTTGAATCTTTGGCGCCTGCTGTTGTGTTGCTACCGAGGTGGCTTCACGAATCTCCGCACAAACAGCCCCGTGCTTTTCTGCCTCCTCCCATTCCCTCTCGCAATGTCCTCGCCTTTCTCTTTGTTTCACACGCAATGCAAACAGCCCGAGAAAGCAATGCTCCAGGTCCCGGACGGAAGTGTCTTCTAACTGCCTTTGATCCTTGATACAACATTGCAGCCCCAGGGCCTGAAAGAGAAACGAAACAGTGGGCCTCTGCAACTGGACGCATAGACATGAATACTCTTCGAGATAGGTAGGTTGTTGGATAGATAAAGTGATGGACAGGTGCGGCCAGGTGGATCGAGATGATCTGGCAATATTTGCTCAGTGACACCTTGTGGGCCGTATGGCTTTGTCGATATGATCCAAACAAATGGGCGTTGACGTTCTCTTTGGTTTCTTCCAAAGGCATCCTCAGAAGACACATCCATTGCAAGGGGACTGGGAAACCAACCCGAACTCGCGACTCGCGACTTGGATCGATTGGATCGACTAGGGCGAATTGGTGGCTCGTCTTTCTTTGAGGGGACCCTTTGTGGGGTGTGATTTCTCATGGGAAAACCCATTGGGGGAACATCCATTCATTGTGGGCTTCCACCCCCACAAAAACAAAATCAACTAGAGGTCCATTCAGCCCAGGATGCATTGTGGGCTTCCCGATGTTAAACCAAAGGGAAAACGCCCATTGTGGTGCTCCCCACAAAAACAAAACAGCAACTAAAGGGAAACCAACGGGAACACATCCATTGTTGGCGTCCCCGATTTTAACACCAAAACATCAGGACAACTCGAGGTCCCGAACGCCGCGGCTTCGCTGATGCGCGCATCTCCTGGAAGAGGCGTGTGGCAAGGGCTTCGCAGCTGTCCGGCCTTAGAACCTGCGAATGGGTAGATTCACCCGGGGGGAGGGATGAAATATATAGATATAGGTCATAGATATATGCATTATCTATATAATACAATGTATATGCACACATGGGAAGTTGTCTCAAACCAGGGGCTCTTACAAGCAAACTTGTCATGAAGGGATGGGGGTGGCGGGTTGGGCGTGTGTGTTTCATATTTTCTGGCTTGCTAATTCCAATGAACCACTCATTTCACACCTACTGGCTCAAGCTGGACTCAACACGGCTCAACACCTGGCTTGTGATTGCTCGCTGACACTGTCGCTGCACGAAATCCTGCCACCTAAGAAACCCTTGAATGATGGTTCCGCTGCAAACACCAGCAAACAATGGTTTTCCATGGATTTTAGGTGGTGCGAAATGGTGTTCGCAACCATCAGTATCTTTACATTGCATTTGCCAGGGACGGCCTTTCTCCTTTTCTCATATTTCGCTTGGTCTCGGCCAAAGAGACCAACCTCCGGGCCTTCTGGCTTTGCGACTCGGGATCCGTTCGCAGGTTGTGACGAGGTCTCAGCGCAAACTCTCTCACACACTTTTCGGGTCAGAGGCTTGCGGGCGGCTCGTGTTTTTTAGGACTAGATTGGACCCGCCCGACTGGGTTCTTTTTTTGTGTTGGTCTGCTTTGAAAACACGCACGCCAAAGGGGTACCTTCAAACAATGACAAACCCATACGCACCATGCCCCGTAGGATCAACAGGAGATTTTGGGACTGTCGTCCCTAATGTCGAACACTACACGACCGACACACTACTTTGAGAAATTGAGCGCAACAATGTGCCAGCATCAGCAAGCTGTTGTTGGGTGGGCAAAAGTGGCAAACACACACACACACACAAAAAGTCGACAAGGGCCAAAACCAATGGGCATACACACACACACACACACCCTGAGCTTTCTTTTCTGGCGGGGATGTCCAGGAAGCATGATTCAATCTTGAATTCAAAGGGAAACACTTTCAGGTCTCATTTCTACAAAATTGAAAGACCTTCGAATGTGCGGGCCTGTCTGAAACAGACCTAGCTGCTTAGCCTTGTCTGCGGAGAACCAAATCAAATGTGTGTAGCAATACTGACTCAGATCTTGTGAAATGTGACGCGTAGGAATTCTGTCGAACGCACAGTTATCTGAAACAAGCCTACAGTGGCTGCTGGAACATAGCCCGACCTCCTCCCAGAGGTCCATGCAGTCGACACGAAAGCGCCTGCATAGCGGCCAGCAGCAAAGGCAGCAGAAAGGAAACGCGGCTCAGCCAAAGCCAGTGAGCGAAATCCCTGGAAGCCCCGGCGTTGGAGAAGCCAGTAGCCGCCCCTGCAAGACCTCAGCCAGGACATAAGCTCTCGTAATCCGAAAGAGCGTCCCTGCTGGAGGGAAAATGTCCAACTTGGGGGTCCGCTTTAATTCTGTGTTTGCTTTGGGCAGGGCAAACGCTCCAGCGCATCAAACATGGCTATGAACTCAACAAGGGGCCCGTTGGTGCACATCATCTGACTTCCTGAGTAGATGGCCCCAAACAAGTCCAAACCGTTTGTTTACAATCTATATAAAATGGTCTTCCCAAAAAGCTTTGTCCAAGAAAGCAGGAAGTGAGTCATGTAGGATTCGAAATTCATGTCCACCAGTCATAGCCAAATCATGGCACACATTGAGATCACAAATAGAAGACTCTCAAAAAACATCAACATCATCCTGCAGTTCGGGATCCAGGACTTGCAAAGCGGATCTCCCCAAACATAGATTCGGACATCGCGGGAGCGGTGTCGCCAAGAAGCAAATCATGGAGATGCAGTGCAACTCGTTCATCTCGGCGGTGAGTGAACATGCGAATGTGGAGTCCGAAACCAAAAGGACCCCGCTGTGTGTGAAGGGAAACCGCCAACCATCTCTACACAACTCCAAAGGACAGACCTGTATCGGTTGTTCCACTTCGTGTCAACTGAGCAAACCGAACAAATCACCGTTGGCGAAGCAACTCAAAGTGATCTCCTTGTGCCACGGGACAAGCTCGGCATGGAAAAAGAACTCCTCTTACGCCAAGCTGGTCTAAGGGTGGCTTTGGGTTTTCTCTTTTCGTGTCATGTCGCTCCACGTCGTCAACTACCCGACGCGTACCCGACTCCGGGGTTTCGCCGCATTCGCCTGGGGCTGGATGTAGGGCCGAACCATGGCAATGATTGCGGCCATGCCCAAACTCATGGCCAAGACCAGGCTCAAGGCATTATCTGAGGACATCACCTGAGCGAAGCAGCTCGAGCTAAATCGCCCCACGGAAACGATCCTGTGCTCGAGAGAAAAACACCGGCAAGCTACGTTGTGGAAGTTGGAGGTCTTTTAGATTGGACGTTTTTTTTTTTGATGCTTTTGGAAAGGTTCAAGGAGACTAAACCTGTTGGAAGGTCCGAATATTTTGAGGCGCCAACTGACTCGTAGCAAGACCAGGCTCCAGTTGCAACCAGTGACGTGGGAGGGAAAAAAGGCCATGCTTTGCAGGGCCAGGATAATCTCACGTCAATAGGAAACCAAACAAAACGGATAAGCGTGACGCTGAACAATTGGGGATCAAACTGCTAAGTGACTTGTGGGTATGTTTCAACATGGGAGGGGTTCCCTTCTCTTGGTTGTCCTTTAAACCAGCCTAAGAAGGATATGTGCCTGCAAAAGCGCGCGCACACACAAATAAACTAGCACAAGTCAAAGCAAGCGGAACAGGTTCAAAAAAACACCTCAGCCAAGTGGCAGCCAGAATGCCAACGGCCAAAAGCTTCTGCACAAACTCCATCCAAACACAGCGGCATAATGCCTCGAGCAGCAAGAGCATCCCAATCGCCAGCTTGGCTGTTGCGCCACCGTCTCGTTTACATTACGATTCGTTAAACCAGGGCTCAACACTGCGTCTGAGCGGCATATTTGAAGAACACCTCCTTGGCACCACCCAAAAGACCTTGGGATTGCACATCTGCTTGGGTGCATGTTTCTAGATTTAATGATCCTCTCTGCATTTCCCTCTTCTTCGCCGTTATCTCTCTCTCTCTCTCTCTCTCTTTTTTGTGCTATCTCTCTAGGTCTATCTCTCTGCATGGTTGCGAATTGTCTCTATCTGTTTCTCTCAAACTGTCTGTTCTCACTCTCTCACGCTCCTTCGTCTTTCCCTTTCACGCACTTTCTCTCTCTGTCTCTCTCTCCCTCCCTCTCCCTCCCCCACTTTCACTCTTGTTCAAGAAGCAATACACTCACTGCAGAAAGCAAAATAAAGCGGCGAGGGCTGTAAACGCGCATCGCTCGCTCCAGTTGGCCAAGCGTCGGTCCTGTGTTGAGGCCCTCTCCATTTCACAACGCTCCACCAGCATCTCCATGATGGCCTGGAAACGCAGCGTCTGCGTGGTCGAGTCATCGGTCTCAAGGAGTCCGCTCACCTAGGAATTTGCCGCGTTTGCGGCATACCATTGCGTAGATAGACCCTTGTTTTGGTACCAAACGTGTTTACCGGTCCCGAGGATTTCCCTGCCAAAAAAAAAAACGGGAAGCACTAACCTAGCCAGGCCAAATAGAGGCATCAAAGGAGACACAGGCTCAACGCTGAGTTAGCGCCCTCGATCGGAAAGGCCACCTACACAAACCCAGAAATGCGCAAAAACGTGACCACGTGCACGCACGCACACACAAACACACAAACACACAAACACACAAACACACCCCCGCAGGAACGCACGCAGGCACGCACGCAGGAACTCAGCACGCAGGGCAGGCAATCAGACACGCACATGCGCCCACGCATTCGCACGCACACGCACAGCCAGCATGCACATGCGCGCGCACGCACACACGCATGCACACGCACACGCGCACGCGCGCAGACATGCGCACACGCAAGCACACAAGCACGCCTGGCCACACGCGTACGCCCACTCACTCGCGCAGCCACAGCCGCAGCCACAACCACAGCCACACAGACACACACACACACAGACACTCAGACACACACAGAGAAACACGCACCACACACCACGCACACAACTACACGCGTACACGCGTACACGCGTACACGCGTACACGCGTACACGCGTACACGCGTACACGCGTACACACACATGCACGCACACACACACACACACAAACACCCACACACGCAGGCACACATACACACATACACTGATGAAAGTCATCATTGACGAAAGCCAGCGTTGGAATGGCAACGATGATGATGGCAGGCCGCTTGTAAAGCAGGGGGTGCTAAGAAGACAGTCGTGAGGACACGGGTGATGAAAACACAACCGTCATGTGGATGATGACAATCATCATCCGCACCGCCGGTGATGCAAAGGACACGGAATGCTAAGATGATAGCCATCGCCGCCATCGTGGTGATCATCATTATCATCATCATAGTCTTCATCATGTGCTGTTAGGCCGCATTGGTGAGGCGGTTGAAGCTACAATTGGCTATCGTCACAGTCATCACCATCATCATCGTGGTCATAAATCATCATCTTCACACGGGTGATGAGAACCATCACTCGCGCCACCCGGGAAACACACGATGCTACGACGCTGGCTACCGTCATCATCATCATCATCACCACCATCATCATCATCATCATCACCATCATCACCATCGCCGTCATCATCATCATCATCATCATGGTTGTCACGAATGATCGTCACACGGCCGCTGGGGATGCAGCGGCTGCTACAATGGAAGCTATCATCGTCGCCATGGCATCATCATGGCCTTCTTTTCTGGCGGGGGGATCACTTTGGTCGCAGTTTTTGGATCACTTTGGTCGCAGCTGAAATCCACTCACTTTGGTCGTAGTTTGAGCATTTGCGGATCGCTTCTGTCGCAATTTTTGGATCACTTCAGGTGCAGTGGAAGATAGCTTTTTGAGCACTAACAACAGGACACACGCAAAGGGTGTTGCCTCTCAAACACCTAACAACAAGAAGACAAGGATGTTGCCGCGTGGGGTGGGGTCGACAAGGATGTTGCCTTTCATACACCTAACAACAAGAACATGCGGGCGAGGTCGACAAGGATGTTGCCTCTCAAACACCCAACAACAAGACATGCCGGGCGGGGTGGGGTCGACAAGGATGTTGCCTCTCAAACACCTAACAACAAGACATGCCGCGTGGGGTGGGGTCGACAAGGATGTTGCCTCTCAAACACCTAACAACAAGAACTGCCGGGTGAGGCGAGGTCGACAAGGATGTTGCCTCTCAAACACCTAACAACAAGACATGCCGCGTGGGGCGGGTGCCTCTCAAACACCTAACAACAAGAACTGCCGGGTGGGGTGGGGTCGACAAGGATGTTGCCTCTCAAACACCTAACAACAAGACATGCCGGGCGGGGCGGGGTCGACAAGGATGTTGCCTCTCAAACACCTAACAACAAGACATGCCGCGTGGGGTGGGGTCGACAAGGATGTTGCCTCTCAAACACCTAACAACAAGAACTGCCGGGTGGGGTGGGGTCGACAAGGATGTTGCCTCTCAAACACCTAACAGCAAGACATGCTGGGCGGGGTGGGGTCGACAAGGATGTCCTCTCAAACACCGGGCGGGGTGGGGTCGACAAGGATGTTGCCTCTCAAACACCTAACAACAAGACATGCCGGGCGGGGTGGGGTCGACAAGGATGTTGCCTCTCAAACACCTAACAACAAGACATGCCGGGCGGGTGGGGTCGACATGCCTCTCAAACGGACATGCCGGGGTGGGGTCGACAAGGATGTTGCCTCTCAAACACCTAACAACAAGACATGCCGGGCGGGGTGGGGTCGACAAGGATGTTGCCTCTCAAACACCTAACAACAAGACATGCCGGGCGGGTGGGGTCGACAAGGATGTTGCCTCTCAAACACCTAACAACAAGACATGCCGGGCGGGGTGGGGTCGACAAGGATGTTGCCTCTCAAACACCTAACAACAAGACATGCCGGGCGGGGTGGGGTCGACAAGGATGTTGCCTCTCAAACACCTAACAACAAGAAATGCCGGGTGGGGTGGGGTCGACAAGGATGTTGCCTCTCAAACACCTAACAACAAGACATGCCGGGCGGGGTGGGGTCGACAAGGATGTTGCCTCTCAAACACCTAACAACAAGACATGCCGGGCGGGGTGGGGTCGACAAGGATGTTGCCTCTCAAACACCTAACAACAAGACATGCCGGGCGGGGTGGGGTCGACAAGGATGTTGCCTCTCAAACACCTAACAACAAGACATGCCGGGCGGGGTGGGGTCGACAAGGATGTTGCCTCTGACAACAAGCCTCAAACACCTATCAACAAGACATGCCGGGCGGGGTGGGGTCGACAAGGATGTTGCCTCTCAAACACCTAACAACAAGACATGCCGGGCGTGGGGTTGACAAGGATGTTGCCTCTCAAACACGTAACAACAAGACATGCCGGGCGGGGCGGGGTCGACAAGGATGTTGCCTCTCAAACACCTAACAACAAGACATGCCGGGCGGGGTGGGGTCGACAAGGATGTTGCCTCTCAAACACCATAGCCAACGGCGAAGAAACTAGGACCGAAGCGAGTAAGGAAACTAGGACCGAAGCGAGATGAAAACTAGGACCGAAGCGAGCCAGCAACTAGGACCGAAGCGAACCCGCGACCTTCTTTTCTTGTATAAGTGTGCCGTTTGGCAGCATTGGTGATGCGGAGGGTGCTACGAGGACAGTTATCAGCACAGTCGTCATCTTCATCACGGTCATCACCATCGTCACAGGGATGATGACGATCATGATGCGCGCCGCTGGGGTGCTACGATGATAGATCTCATCGTCATCATGGTGATCCTCAATATGGTCATGATCATCGCTTTCTTTTCACACTAATGCGCATTTCAAGTGCGCCGTTTGAGTGTTTGTGTGTGGGCGTATGCGCTCTCCCATCCCATCCATCCATCCATCCATCCATCCATCCATCCATCCATCCATCCATCCATCCATCCATCCATCCATCCATCCATCCAATCCATCCTCCATCCATCTATCATTGCATTCAACCACGCGTCGACCATCCGTTCCCACCATGAAGCCCTCAGAAGTCGACACACACTACACCAAACCGCACAGCGAACACTGCAGAGCGGACGCACCATAGTCTAACAATCCACAAAGAACCACCACACCAAGACTCCCAGTCTAAAACTCCGAAAGAGAAAACAATGAGAATCCCAACATGGTTCCCTGAAACCAACCAAGAGGGAGGGGGTTATGCGGGGTGCCTCATTTGTGAAAATCCAACTCCAGCATCTAACTCAACGCCACCCAGTTTCTTGGAGGGCGCCGAAGGAGGAAATGTCTGGTCGCTTGTTGGAGTGTGGCATTCTGGCTCGTCTTTTTCGAGGGCACCAACTTGTTTTGAATGTTTGCAAAGCGGGAGCCCGAAAAGAAGCCGTTTTTGAGTGTACCAGCTTTTGTGTTGGATATTTGCCAAGGGAAAGGTCAAGGGAAACCGTCCCCATAAGATGGGCATCGTCACCTAACTCAAGGCACACCCATATGCCTGGCCAAGTTGCATCCGCCGTTCTCATCTCCCTTGCTGGGCAAAGGCAACCGGAACAACGCCTCATTCCCTGTTAGGCAACAGGGACAAAAATCCATGTGTGGGGTCTCAATGTTGGGACTCGGATGAGCATAGTTTTTCTAGAGGTTCAGGGCTTGTACGCTGCTGCAAGAGGCGACGCGAATTCGTGGAAGGCTTGGCTTCGCGAGCAAGGCCGTGGCTCGCAGTGGCTTCGGGCGCGGACGTTTGTTCCACAAACATCTCTGATGTTGGCGTTGAATGGCGGTAAGAGAAAAGCATTGAGCCTCAGGAGCATGGGAGTTGGACCTCGGAGGCTTTGCCGAGTTTCTAGAAAAGCTGGGTGTGGAAATGGGCAGTACTCTTCTGGTCGTCTTCCTGTCGTCTTCCCAAAATCTTCCGGTAGTCTGTCTGCAATCTTCATGTAGTTTTGTCATAGCCTTCCGGCAGCCATGTGAAAGTGATTGTAAGCATCAACCTTGGACATGCTACCTACTGCCATGAAAGCGCATGGCCCCACACAACCACGAATTGGCTTCGCAAAGTGGCTTCTACGCGACTTGGCAAGTGCCTTCGCAGACCTTTTGAGAGTTCCCCCGAAGCTATAATCCATCGTCTGAGAAAGAAGGCTACTCAGATGCCCTCGATTTGCAAAACAGCGGAATCCACCTGACGCCACCATCTCCAGCGCCGGAAACAAGCCTGCTGCCAAGCGTCGCCTTGCCATTACGCAGCTGCAGGCGTACCTGCACCACTGCTTTTAAAACAGCCTGCACCACTGCTTTTAAAACAGCAAGCAGTGTAAAAAAAAACAGCAGCTAACAGGTTGGAGGTCACATAGGTACATCCATCTGACAATTAGACCCTCAAGCGCAGAACCAAGGGACTAAGACATGGGTGATGTGCAAGGTCGTCACCGATGACCTACGGGCCCGCCCACACATCTTCGGGTTGACACCTCCTCCAAGGGTCTGAACGGAATTCAGGAATGTTGGTCCATTACGCCATGTTCGACACGTGGCCCTTCGACTCCTTGCTGGTAAGGGGAGATGCAGGAAAGACGTGCAAGGCTGAGTTTCAATTGGGGGCCTGTTGACACAGACATTTCTGCCCACCAACCATTTTGAAGGCTGCTCCCAAAGGACAAAAGAACAAAAAGGCTATTGAGTCTGGCATTGGAAAGGAAAGATGAGGACCCAGTTCATCTTCCCTTTTGTTCAGAATTCCCCAACAAAGAAATAGCCAAACCCGCTGCATCCTCTCCGGCAACCCGCCAAACCAAAGCGATGAAAACTTCCATTTCCTTAAGCCCGATAGAAAAGATAGAGATATACCCGGTAAAACTAAAAAGAGCAATATTCATTTCAGGAAATGGAAGGAAACCGAGCCAAGCAAACAAAGCCAACCCAGCCAGCCAAGCCCCTGGTTCTATTGTTTCAGCGCCTCTCCACTGAGCGCCACTGCCATGTGAGCCACTGCAGCAGCGAGCAGGTGCTCGCCATCCTGCCGGGTCTAGGACACCGACAAAACACACAGTGGATAATCTTAATGTAAGGCTTCCTTTTCGCTTCACCCCCAAAACTGCGAAAAGGCTTGGATACATACTCAAAGGGGTCAATACAGGGTACCACCTCGGTAAAGTGGCTTGGTCCTGAGAAGGTTTTGCGTCAGAATTCTGCGAACACCCCCAACAAGACAAACGATCTGGTTTTGAGCCTACTTTTGGCCTTTCTCGCGCTCCAGTAAACTAAGCCAAGCCAAAAGAGAGCCCCCTAAGGAAACACATTGTGAGTCACCCTTAAACGGGACTCATTTTGAAATGGCAGCCAGTGTCGTGTTTACCCACAAAGGCAGGTCCAAGGACCAGTGTCTCAAGGCTCGCTTGTTCGCAGCAACGATTGCTTCTGAAAAAGCTGCAAGATGCTGCAAGTTTGGAGAGATTGTGTTAACTAGAGGGGCGTGGCTTTTGGAGGGTACTGGGTTGGGGAAACCAACAAAAAGGGGAAACGGAACCAAATCAAAATTGAAAACAAATCAAAGCGCCAAACTATACTAGTCTCCCTGTTGGAGACAGATATGACCCGTCACAACTGGATGCAGTGGGGCCACAAACAGAGTGGATGACTGTGAAGACACCTGCCAACAAGAAACTTAAGCCTTTGCTTGCGTGGAAACACCAACGATTGTGTGATGTGTCAGGAAGGCCCTTTCGTAGCTTAGGGACAAGAAGGAAGGCTATCATTTTTGGGAGTATACAGTCCTCGCACCCTACGAATCCTTCGCCAAAAGCCGAACGGGTCGCGCCTGCGGGTGTTCGGCGCCTTGGATCTCTCGGATGGGCTGCAGCCTGACGAGCCACCCTGCCTTCGATCTCTCGGCCACGGCGGTCACGGTTTTGCTCGGCTTCCTCGGTTCGGAACACGATTCCAAGGAGTCTGCGCAAGCAGGGGAATCCTGCTTGCAAGACTCCTTCTCAACATGAGAATGAGCCACTCCGTGACTCCTTTCATTTGTCCCCACTTTTCGGATCTCCAAGAGCACCAGATTGAGTGGCTGCTTGCAAAGTCTTTGGACCGAGATTCAATATCACATGCTGGCGAGCAAAGAGGTACAGGAGGGCCGCTGGTATAATGAAGACGTAGAACAAGGCCGTGCCACAGCCCGTGACGTACACCTCGGGGCTGTCGTTCCAATTGCGACCGCGGCACTTGCTGTGAACCCAGTCACAAAGGCGCGCGGAGTGAGGCCCCACAAAACAGGTGCTTTCCTTTTGGTTGCCCTTCAAACCAACCCAAATACGCAAGAAACACAACCAACAGCATCCTCTTGAACACGAGGCAGGTCCAATGCATCAAAAAATGTTCCAAGGCACCCATTGCGCCGCACCCGAGTTGTCCGAACACGAAATGAACGGCAGCTTCTCCAGAAACGCGTAGTCTCCCAGAGGATCACCACCTGCGCTTTGAAACCACTGCTGCATCGCAAGCAGTGGCTCGCCTTTGGAACAACCAGACACAATGAGGAACAGGTGACTACGTAAACTGCAATGTAACGAGCACGAGAATCTTTACCTTTCTCGCTTTTGTCCCTTTGGCTTTTTTGTTTTTTTGTTTTTGTCCGTCTCTCTTTCTCTGGTTCTGTCTCTGTCTCAAAGTCTTTATCTGTAGCTGTCTCTTGTTTATCTGTCCGTTTCTCTTCTGTCTCTGTATCTTTCTCTTCCTTCTCTTTGTTCTCTTGTCCCTTCCTTTCTCCTTCACAGCTAGCTACCAATATATCTGTGTACTCCTAGTATGCTTATCTTATCTGTCCCTCGTGCTCCATCTACTTACAGGGATATTCGCTTGTCTGTTTGTCTGTCTGTCTGTCTGTCTGTCTATCTATCTATCTATCTTTCTTCTATCTAAGTCATCGATCTACTTATCCATATAAACCTAACACCTATCTGTTTCTGTCTGTCTGTCTGTCTGTCTGTCTGTCTGTCTGTCTGTCTGTCTGTCTGTCTGTCTGTCTGTCTGTCTGTCTGTCTGTCTGTCTGTCTGTCTGTCTGTCTGTCTGTCTGTCTGTCTGTCTGTCTGTCTGTCTGTCTGTCTGTCTGTCTGTCTGTCTGTCTGTCTGTCTGTCTGTCTGTCTGTCTGTCTGTCTGTCTGTCTGTCTGTCTGTCTGTCTGTCTGTCTGTCTGTCTGTCTGTCTGTCTGTCTGTCTGTCTGTCTGTCTGTCTGTCTGTCTGTCTATCGTCTATCTACCTATCTATCTGTGTCTATTTGTCTATCGCATCTTTCTATCTAACCTATCTTACTTACCTACCTGCACAACCTACTTACCTATCTATCTGTCAACATCCACCGGTTTATCTATCCATCTACTGAGATCTACTTATTTCCTTGTTTTTATCTATCAAGTCTATCCATCTAACCCAATCTAATCTGCCAATAGTGATCTATCTTTCTAGCTATCTACCTCTTGAGATCCACCTACCTATCTATTTATCTATCTGTCTGTCTATAAGTACACATCTATCTTTCTATCTGCTTGTCTCTTTTCTTTTTCATTCCGGTCTCATCCACTTTAAACGGTAGCTACCCTTCACAAGCCCGAAATTCCTTCTAAACTTCCTCCGCCAAAGGCTGGCTTCCGCTGCTAAATGAATAAATTAAAAAAACATATACAAATAAATATATATATATATATATGTAAATACAACCACACATGCCCTCGGCCACCCTCACGATTTAGCCCGCAGGTTGCGTCACACTATAGTGGTAGGAAACAAAGTCCAGGCATTGTTTGCTTGGGGTTTGGCGTGGCCTGCGTCTACTCTTTGGCAGCGGAGAAGGTCGCTAGATTGGCGAGCACCACCAATGTATAACCTGGTGGAGGTTGGACCAAGCTGCACACATGCTTCAACAAATAAGCAGTGGCTAAGAACAACAAACGCTCCTTCCAACCAGCTAAGTTGACTGGCTAACAGTGCGAACTTGATGGCATTGTTTCAAAAACGGTAAAGACGCCTGGCCACAAAACACGCATTGTAACCTGTAGAGGGATGTCCTTTCTTAGAAAGTTACACGCTTATGTGTGTCTTCTTTGATCGGTACCCTTTGGGTTTTGAAAAGGACACCAAGAGGAAACCACGTGGGCTCCCAAATTTTGAGACAAACCCATGAAGCAAACAACTGCAGCCGAGAAACATGGTTAGCGCCTTGAAGGCACTGCTGGCGCCTCAAAGGCAGAGCCGAAAGGCACCCCTCATCTATCTGGGTCTGTCTTCTGTTGAGGCGCGGTATCCATCCGTTGGTTGGGTTCAAGCTTCTGTTTTGAATGAGAAAACACACCCATCTGGGCTGTTCAAAATAGAGCGCTGGCCAATCCGATGTTCCAGAATCCTTCTCGGAAAACCACTGTTCCAAACGGGGCCGAATCCTCTCGTACCTTGAAAGGATGTAACAGTCAGGGACAAATTAAGGATAACCCTTAGCACCGAGACTGGCTTCAAGTCACGCCCGCCAAACACGTCTTGAAGAACGGTTGGGCTCAAGCGGAATCATTCGTTGCAAGTCACCTAAGGATGGCTTCAGGAGCTCCAGCATTGAACACGCCAGCAGCAACACCACAGGCACCACCGGCGAAGCCAGCGCTGATGCCAAGCGCACTGTCGGGCCGTGCCATAGGCACTCTGCACGGACTGCGTCCTGGTAAATGGAAGGCGGGGGGGGGGGCTATTTCTCCCTGAAAATAAAGACGCCTCATTTGGTTTGGAGGCGAATGTTGCCCATCATATGCCCTTACAAGATCCATGGGTTCAAATCCAAAGCACCAACCCAAACCACCAGTTATAACTAAGTACGGGCAACCTGCAAAAATGCCCGGTTGCAAAAACAACAACGCAAAACCACTGTTTATCGGAATTTCTATGGACAAACTGCAACACGCTGTTGCAATTCCGACTTTCGGGCGGGATTCGGAGATACCTGCCCTCACCCTACGAAATAAGTAATCCTTTCTTCCTATGCAAATCAAAGGGGCCCCTTCCCTTTAAAAAGTGTTTGCTTAAACATTGACTTCTGAGCTCTTATTTCATCTTTTTTTTGCAAATCAAGGGCCCGGCCGCGAAGGGCTCTTCCGGAAAAACTGCCACTATCACACAGCCAAGCTTGCAACTTGCACGATAATTTTTCGCGCCACCAAACTTGCACGAGCCAACTTGCGCGAGAATGTATCGCACTGCCAAGCTTGCACGAGCCAACTTGTAGCAAAAATCGTACAGGCAAACTTGCACGAGACAACTTGCACGAGAAAGATCGCACGGCCAAACTTGCACGAGCCCACTTGCACGCCGCCAAACTTGCACGAGCCAACTTGCACGAGAACGCTCGCAACTTGACGAGAAAGCTCGCGCAGCCAAACTTGCATAAGCCAACTAGCACGAGAAAGCTCGCGCGAGACATGCAAAACGGCGGATTCTTCGATGTCTTAACACGCCCGCTCGACCCTGCGCGGGGCTTGGCGTGGTCGATGCGCGATTTCTGATTTGTGCGCAACCCGCTGCGGGGAGGCGTGGTCGATGCACTAAGGCTGACGCCTTCTACGATTTTTGAACATGCCCGCGCGCCCCTCTGTGTGGATTGGCGTTGTCTGCAAAAAAACTGAGGACTTTCTAGTGAAATGCTACTTTTTCTATGGTCGAAACGCGGGCTTGTCTCGAGGTTTGCGCGCTCTTGGAAGCGGGCTCCAATCCTGCTTGGTCACCGCGGCTTCTGAGTTAGAAAGGCAGCAGCGCGAAAGTAACTCGCCAAGTGCACTTTTGCAGCGTTGGCCGGAAAAACGCAGCTTTCAAGTACGAAAGTAGTACGCAAAGTACACTTTACTTTCGCAGCTTCGGCGGGCAAATCGCAACTTTCAAGCACCAAAGGACCAAAGTAGTACGCGACGTACACTTTCAGAAGGCTTCGGCTGGCAGATCGGAACTTTAAACTATGAAAGTATTACGCGAAGTATTGTTCGCAGGTCCGGATCGACGCACGCGCAGAACGTGCTCAGAGTTAGATCTGGCTCATACAAACTTGTTCCGAGCTTACACGGCACACTTGCGCAGAGCGCTTGCGCAGCGCAACTTGCACAGAGCATTTGCACACACGCAGAGCAACCCTCACTTTCCACAAAACTTTCGGGCCACCCGTGGTTCCAGCGCTTGCTTTTTTCGCCAACAGCTGAAAGCTTTGGGGTCTCAGCCCAGATAGGCTCCGGGGTGGTCCGGGGCGGCCGTGAGGTGAGGTTCCACGAGGGTTCCACCAGAGTTCCACGAAGGTTCCACGAGGTTCTGCGAGGGCTGCGGGTGGTGCTAAAAGGAACTAAAGAGCACTGCAGGCATGCTGTTGGGGATATCACCTGAGCTTTTTTTTTGGCGGCGGGGGCGCATGGAACCCAAAAAGACCCTTTGTGCAAAAAGGTTTGTCCCGTTTGTGGGCTCACGTAGCAGGAGGCCCGCTAAAAAAGGTCCTTGACCTGTGCCAAAGTCAGCTGCGTGAAGTCCATAAACGTTCGGTCCCACTCCCGAGAGCCTGACAGGCGGAGGCGCTCTTTGGTCGACCCCCTGCGCTGGAGCGGCCAAGAGCCTTGAAGAAAACGGAAACAGCGTTTGTAGGGAAACGGAAAACGCCAGCCGCTGCCAACCAAAGCAGTTCCCCTGCCCCAGCCTTGGTGGGTGACTGGGCCTTGCACGGAGGTGCCCAGCACTGCATAGAGCTGGGCCAGCTGCAACAAAACCACAGCCTCTCGGTCGCGCTCACTCGCGCAAGCGGGTGAAAAGCGATGCGCTCCAGGCTGGTTCGTTTGGCGGACAAATTATTGGTTTATGTCCACCAACCACTTGTGAGCGGCTTTATATCCACCAACTACTTGCGTGGCGGCTTTATATCTATTCAACGTGGTGTTTTGTCCACCAAATGCTTGTGAGCGCCCAACCAACCACTTGCGAGGCGGTGCTATTGTGAGGCTTTTTATACCCAACCAACCAGGTGGTTTTCTAGCCACATCCAACGTGGGGCGGCTTTTACATCCAACGAGGCGGCTTTATATCCACCCAGCCACTTCCAAGGTGGTTTTATATCCACCATCCACATGCAAGGCGGCGTTATATCCACCAATGTTTTATATCCATGCATCACTTGCGGTTTGTGTCCATCAACCACCTGGGAGACGGCTCCCATTTGAACCCGCTGTGCAACTTGCTTTAGGAATCAAATTGGCATCCGAAGCATGATGCTCAGAGTGTAAGGAAATTACCATGTTTTAGGCAAGATCTGACGAGTGTCCGGAACTTGATTGGAGGTTGGCAAGACCAAAACCGCTTCTTTCCAATCGTGGAAGTGGCAACAAAGGCGCTAGTCTTCCCAAATCAACATTGCGGGGGTGATCGCAAAATGGTTCAGCCTGATTAGAGTGCGGCGGAAGTGGGGGTGGCTAACCACTTGCTTTCCTAACTCCAGTCTGAGTATAGACTCGGCAAGTGCATTGGTGCTGCCTGAAAGCAACTCCACCACGCCCTGCCTGACGTGCAGCCAATTCGGCCAGCACGTGCCAGCGAGCATGCGCCTGACCGCACGTAAGCGTGTCAGCCCAAGGTTAAAGTGGAGGGGGAACTTGCGAAATGTTGGTTTCTGTGTCGACCAACAAAAAGAGGACCCGCAAAGAAACACAAACACACACACACACACATACACCCACAGGCTTTACAAAAGCTGAAGCGCCCGCCTTGTTCCAGCGTCCCACCACAGTTGTCCGTAGCAGCCACGTTGCCACAGCCACGAGAACGCCAGCGATGCCGAGGACGGCCGCCACGGCCCACAGCGACCGCAGGTCTTGGTCCGTCGCCTCCATGGGCCGAGCTTAAGCATTGATAAGGGCCATGTTTAAACCAGCGCGCCTAAACCACTGTTGTAAACACCTTTCTGATTTGGGTTTCTCCAACCTATAGTCAATACCACCTCCTGCTGGCTTTGAAAATACAAGCATCCAAGCGTCAGCGTTGCTTAGACACATGTTTTGCCCCCAGCACCTCTGAACACTTCTCGCAGCCGCCTTTTGCCTGGTAAAACCGGTCAGCGCAGACGGCGCAAAGCGGGCCCAGGCAGCCTGCCATCTTCAAAAATACTTGTATGGCACCAAGTCCAAGTTCAAGAACAAACGCGCGCAGGAGTTTGTTGCGCGAATCAAGGAAGCTGACGACTTGGAGCAGTGCCCGCTGCCTGGTGCGCACCAAGGCTTCTTGGAGTCTACTGGAAGCTGGCCACCGGGGCAGGCGGAGCTGCTCAAACACTTCGCTAGCTGGCCCAGGTCGCTGAGGTTCAGCGGCACCATGCCTTTTGAAGCAACTGTGTGTGTGTGTGCGTTGCGCGCGTGTTGCCTTTTCCCCAAATAGCTGAAAGCTAGAACGCCGTGCTGGCGGTGCGTTGGAAAGGGTGCTTGGGGTCAAGGTGCTGCTGGGTGTGCTCAAGGTACTGTGGCAGTTGCTGCCTGCGCTTGGTCAAGGTGCTGTTTGGTGCGCTCGAGATTTGGTGCCAGATTCTGGCAGCGCTTGTTGGGTCGTCAAAGTGCCTTTTGAGCCACGGCTCAAAGTACCGCGGCAGCTGCTGGCGGCGATTGTTTGGATGCTGGTCAGCTGTTGGCGGCGCTTGTTTGCAACTCAGTCAGAGCGGCGCACCACCAGCACCCTGACTACGCTGAGCGCGCCAAACACAACCCTGACCAGCGGGCGCCAACGCAACAGCACCCTGACTGACTTGAAGCACCACCACTACCAACAGCAACAGCAACCTCGCGGGCACCCACAACAAAACCCTGAACAGCACCATGACCAGCGACCACAACAGCACCCTTACTGCATCGGCAGCTGCCACAGCACTTTGAGCCGTCAAGCTCCAACGCCAATGATTGCAGTGCCAAACAAGCAACCTGGCACCACCCCGCCCCTAAACAGCACCTTGACCGGCACCCTGACATCGCCAAACAACAGTGAGCACATACAAAAGCACGCCTTTCCCCAAACAGCACCCCGACCAACGCCTGGCTGCGTCATCAAACCAACACTGCCCGCAACCGCCGGAATTCTTTCAGCACTCCAAACACACCTCCTGAACAGCGCCCCGACTGCATCGCCAAACAAGCGCCGCCAGGCACCATGCTGAGGGCACCAAACGCCACCCCGGCCAGTGCCCGCAGCAGCGCCCCCGTCTGACGCCAACACAACAGCCATGCAGGCAGAGCGCTGTTGTGAGCACAGTCGTGGGTTGGTGTGCTCAAGGTGGTGCAGCGGTTGCTGGCGGCGCTTGTTTCAAGTTGCAGTCAGGATGCTGTTGAGGGTGCTGTTATAAGATTCCATGCTTTCTGGGACTTGCTTGAAAAATAGAGACAATGTGTTACTTTTCTCCTCCCATGTGCTCCCCTTTTCCTGGCCAGCGGCATAAGTTAAGTCCTTTTATCTCCGAAGTGGATGGTGGGCATGCATGCCCTAAATGATGTTCACCATTGCGGGCCCCCAGCAACAATTCAAACCCAAATCTTCTTGGCATCCTCAAAACTTCGGGTGTGTCATTTTAGGGCAAAAACGTGGCTTGTTTTTTGCTAACAAAAACGGAGGCGCCAACTCCAAAAAAAAAGCGGGCGACCCATTTGAGGCCCCGCCATCTAGTTTCTTGAGAGGGGTGGCAGGTCCACAGAAAGTTGTTCTCCACGGTCAAAACACCAAAAGTCCGCCACCACCTTTTTTGGGGGCAGCCGTCTTTTTGTCACTTTGATGTGGGTGTTCGGGGGTCGCAGGTCCAAAAAACGTTGTGTGCCGCAGTCGAAACAAAACTTCGAAAGTCCGCCACCACCAGCGCGTCCTTTTGTGGGTCAACCGTCCTTGGGCTGCCTATAAAAGGGGATAAGGATGTTAAACCTTGAGACAAACCATGAAACGGTCACTTTGAAGTCAGCGTTCGGGGCCTGACAGTCGAAACAACACGCCAAAAGTCAGCCACCCACGAGAGCGTCCTTCTTTGGGGCAACCGTCTGTTGGCTGCCTTACAAAAGGGAAAAAGGACAAACGTTAAACCTTGAGACAAACCATGAAACCGTCCCTTTGAAACCAAAAGTCACGACCCGTCTTTTGGCTGCCTCAAAAGCGACTAAGGACGTTTAATCGTCACAGGTCCACGAAACGTTGTTCGCCGCGGTCGAAACAAAACGCCGAAAACACTAGCACGTCCTTTTTTGGGCAACCATCTTTTGCCTGCCTTTGCAAGGGGATAAGGACGTTAAACTTTGCGACAAACCATCAAACTTTCACTTTGAAGTGAGTCACAGGTCAGCAAAAAGTTCATTCGCCGAAAGTCCCCGAGGCATCTGCATGGTCTCCGGCTCTGTGCAGGTCCAGCCCTCGGGGCAAGCGCACGGGGCCCACGCACCCTGCTGCACCTGGGCCAGGCCCCCGGAGCATCGGCGGCAGCCCCGGGTCAGTCTCGCCTGAAACCAAAACCAAGTGAGGGATTCGCTTTGAAGCCAACAGGGGATGTAAACCATTTTCATTTCAGCAAACTGGTTTCAAAGAAGATAACAGGAAGTACTGGGCGTAAAAGGGAACTACGCACCGACTTCTAGTCGGGACTGTCGCCTAACCCGTCGCCTGGACATGGGTAGCGTTCTCGTCTGCCACATCCACCAGGCCGGAGCCCCGGCGGCAAAGAGGGCGCACCTGCTGCCACTGCTCCAGCTCCTGCAAGCGGGCGTTGGTGGACATAATTTAAGCATCGGGGGGGTTATATCCTCGGATCTTAAAACAACGCCAAGTGAAAAACCGAAGCGTGTTCTTTCCAGCTAAGATCAACCGTGGAACCCAGAAAGTGTTTGGGCTTGCCAACGCAAGCATGGCAACCACACCATCGAGCCACGATTTCCCGAATAGTGAATCATGCTTTCCCATTAGACCAAAAACAACTGCCTCCTGCGCTACCACACGTCCAACACTTAGGTCATAAGTCAACGAAAATTCCTCTGCATTCAGCGTCTCTAGCGTCTCTGTCGTCGCTTCGGTCTCATCCATCATCTCGAAGACGCCTTGGAAAAGAATGAGCACTGCCTTCACCAAATCTTTCTGCTCGTTTCCTTACAAGGATTTGCAGCAGGAGACTTGTTAAACATAGTCAAGGTACAGTCTTCCGCGCCGCTACAGTTGATTGAGCGCGCTGCGAGCTTCAAAACTTGGAGCTGGATTGGCTGGTCGGAAGGGCCCAGGACCAACTCAGCCACATGAAGAGAGTGCCTCAGATGCATGCGAGGAAGAACACCTGGGAAAAACCATGTTTTTGATCACTTGACTCTAAAAGGAAACTCCCCCCACCTCAAGACAAACCCTTCAAAACAAACTGAGAAAGGAGTAAGATCCACTGGGGTTCCCGGAGACAGCCACACCTGCGGCTTGCTCGATTTCCAGGCGCCGTACCCTGCAGCCGAGGTTGGGGCCGTTGGAGGCCCGCAGCACGCTGCCATATTTCGCGGCAACGTCGGACGCCTTCCAAACGCCCCGGGCATCGATTTCGAAAGCCTCAGTCAAATCTGCCAAATTGCTACTCTTCTGGTTGGTCACATACAACAAACGTGCTTGTTTTAAGTCAGGGAATGGGGGAATGATATAAACTATTATTGTAGGGTCATTCCCAATTCCCTACTGAGAATCAGGAACTGAAGATCACCAAGTATCTACAAGGCATCCACCCGAGCTGGCTTCGCAATCTCGGCAGGATAGCTGGCCTGACTCCGACTGGTTCACTGCTGTGAAATAGCCGCCCCCACCGCCTCCTGCCAAAGGACCCAGCTAGAGCCAACAGAATCTCTTTCAGTTCGAAAAAATAATTTTACACAGGGGGTCGGATGATAATGTTTGTAGACACCTTGCGCGCACACCTTTTTCCCTAACTGGTAAGGGGTCAAACAACAGGTTGTTCCTTGAAACCAACCAAGCAAAACGGGCCCCTTTTTGCCAATGGCCGTGGGGTAAATGACTCTGTCACCTTCTTGTCAGGATTGGTTTACACTAAGGCCGTCAAACTACCGCAGCCTGTTGGCATCAGATTCAAAGCCATAATTCCGCCTGCAATTGTTAATTTTAGTGTAGGTCATGAATCATAACAAATTTACTACCTGATCTAAACTGTACTTACTTGCGCGAGAAGAACGTAGAATGAGAAAAGATCACGCCATTCAACACGTATAATGCTACAATTTTGAAATGGTAGTGTATCGTCATGATAAGCTGATCATTGTAAAAAAACTGTGCCTAGAGCAGTCACATTTATCAGAGGCCCTCGCGTCAAACAGAACAACGTAGCATAGCCATTGAACAATAACCACACAGAACGCCATTCGCATCACGCAAAACAAGTCCAACAAGGCAAAACAGGCCTCCCCTAATCAAATGCTTCGCCGGACTGGTCCGTTGCTGTGATGGGGCGACTAACGGGCACACCGTTAAAGTCAGCCGCGCAATGACCAGCCTGCCCCCCAATCGGTACATTTGTATTTAAAAAAATGTAAGTAAATTGTTGTCTTATCAAATTGTAGATAAAGTTGACCAAAAAAAATAACAAACTGTTTTTCAAAGCAATTCCTATTCAAGTTTAAATTTAAGTTGGTTTTAATTGAATTCTTTCATTATTCGATTCTAATAGAATTCTATTAAAAATTGAAAAAAGATGGCTTTTCAAAAGCAATTTCTATATACATTTGCTCGCCCCCAAGATCCACCTTAGTACATTTCGGTGTCCAAAATTTTGTTTGGGCGTGAATATATATATATACATATATATGTACTTCCTTTTGAGAGCAGGACGTTGTGAGCGTGCGCTTTTTTCATTTTTTTGAGTGGAAACTCGAGTTGAACTATGTTTGCATAAGGTGTGTTCAAATGTCAGATGAATGTAAATAATTTGATACTGTGTAAACTATCAATTAAACTAGAGTTATTCTAATTCAAATTCCATCATGAAACAGAACTTGTGATTGGATTCATTCCTGATCAAATTACGTTCAACCTCTAATCAAAAATTATAAATGTAAGATGTAACTTCCAGTAGGATTCTGATGAAGTACTTCCTTGTTGAGTCTCATTGAAATCCTATTCAAATTCAAACTGAATTTCAGAGAGCGGCCGTTGGTGGAGATGTGCATTGAGTACGAAAAACGCTACAAAACACTGGTTTACTGGTCTGACCATGGTAGTTCTGGGGCTAGTACACACATTCTGGCCTTCTGAAATCTACTGAATGTCTTTACCAAATTCTACCCAACGTCTGACTGAAATTGGCTAGAAATGATTAAGGAAAGACTCCAATCAAATTGTTGTTGTTAAATTAGAATTGAAATTATGATTAGTCTAGTTCAACGTAAATGTTACACGGGAATAGAATTGTCCTTACACGTTGCATGGCAAAGAGCCCGAGACCTACAAATGATTGGTTTTTAGGATGTTTAGGGGCAGGGACAGTACAGCACTTTGGAGATCAGGGTGCTCAAAGTGCTGTGCTGTTTTCATTTTTCGCTTTGGGTGCAAAAGTGCTGCGCTGTCCCTAAAAAACTTCAAAAAAAACAAAAACATATGTTTTCAGAGCTTAGGTTTTTTCGGGACAGTGCAGCACTGTTGGCCAAACAATAGGGACAGTACAACACTTTTGAGGTGCTCCAAAGTGCTGTGCTGTCCTTTCTTTTGTTTTCAAAGCAAACAATAGGGACAGCACAGCACTTTTGAGGTCAGTGTGCTCCAAAGCGCTGCGCTGTTCTTTTAGCACTTTGAGGACCCTGACCTCAAAAGTGCTGTGCTGTCCCAATTTTTTCGACGGCACTTTCAACACCCTGATCTTCAAAGTGCTACTTTTTTGCTTTGGAATCAAACAAATAGGGACAGCGCAGCACTTTGAGCACCATGACCTCAAAAGAGCTGTGCTGTCCCTATGTTTTTTTCTTTGAAGAGTAGCGAGTACTGTCCCTAAGAAACCTACAAAAAACAGTTACTTACAAACCTCAGGCTCTTAGCCATGCAAGACTCTGAATATTTGTTTTTTTTAGGTTTTTTAGGGACAGTACGGCACTTTTGCATCTCGAAAGCAAAAAACGGGATAGTACAGCACTTTGAGCACCCTGATCTCCAAAGTGCTGTGCTGTCCATTTTGATTGAAACACAAAATAGGGACAGTGCAGGGCAGTACAGCACTTTGGAAATCAGGGTCCTCAAAGTGCTGTACTGTCCCTACTTTTTTGCTTTGGAATCACAAAAAAGAGAGAGTACCGCACTTTGGGCACCATGACCTTCCCAAACTGAAAAAAGCGCAATAAAGAGACGTCTTTTAACATGTTCAACACACTTCAATCGCAAATAATCTGCAATCTTCTGCTTGCCTATCCTTCTTCGGGCTCAAAACTGCTGCAAATACTATATGAAAATGCCTACTCAAACCAAAAAACATCAGCCAGCATCACATCTTGTCCAGGATCAACCCATCTGATTTGAAAAAAAAAGTATCCCGGCAAGGGACCACAAATCCGCCGACCCCATGCCTGGTCCAGAATGGACCATGCTTTGGCATGGGGGCGGTGTGTTCTGTGTTGCTTTGGTTGATGTGTTTTCTATAAGTTTGATGTGAATAGGCTTAAAATACGCCGGCTGGATTTCTGGATCTCTGGGTGTCTGGATATGTCCCTTCCCTCCCCCCTGTGTTGCTGTTGCTTCGCATGTTGACCCTGGAACAACCATTGTCATTTTGGCTCACGGCCCCCCTTGTATCATAGGCATGCAGCATTACAGGACCAGGGGCATCCATTCTCAGTTCCTCCACTAATGGCATATTTGACTTTTTTGCAGAATAGATCCAGGGACCGTCACACATATTCTCTACTACCACAAGGTACCTGTTCCCTTCGGGGATACGGTACCCCCGGCACTGGGGCTCAGTTGTGGCGGGTTTTCCGCAGAGATCCATACACAATTTCATCCGATGGAGAAGGCTTCATGGAAGCCTATTCAAGTGTTGGCCAACCATCTGGCTACACTGAAGAGACGCTCAACTTGTCGATGACCGCCAAGCAGCCGCCATCGTACGACGGAAGAGTCAGCTGGTTTAGATATGAAGAACTTGTCGGTGATTGGGTGACCTTCACCACCATCGAGGCATCCCAGAGAGGACCACTCCTCAAGAGTAGTCTCACAGGAGACGCTCACATGTGCAAGGCAGTCCTCCAGAATCACCTCTTGCAAGATCCTGAAGAAGGAGTCAACTATTTCAAGAACACGCTGAAGAAGTTCTTCCTGAAAGGGTCGACCAACGTGTACTTGTACAGACTTCTCCGTTTCTTCAATCACAGGATGCAGAACACCGAGTTCCTCATATTCACATCAAATTTTGAGATTCTCTTGATGAGTTTGAAGTCAGCCTGGATGGACTTGATGCCCACACATACGGCACAGTCACCAGAGTTCATAGCATCAGTACAAGATGCCAATGCAAGAAGAATTGCCGCGCCAGCAAGCCGCTGGTGCACGAGCACCGCCTTCAGATCTGCTACAAACCGACAATCCGGAAGTACTCAGGCAGTACCTCACCGGCATGCAGACAAGCAACAGGGACGCATTTCCCCTCAGCGACAACCTCATTGCACAATTTTTCATAATCCAGAGCGAATTGCCAGATCAGCAGAGAGAAAGACTGATCAGTGCAATGTCATTGAGAAACATCTCGCTTGAGAACTACACCTACAAGATGATGAAAACGCAGTACCACGACCTCTTCATCACGACCAGAACATCCATCCAAGATCCATCCATCCGACCTCCTGGAGGAAATCGGAGCAATGCCTTCTACATCCTGGAACAAGGAGAATACGAAGGTGAAGAAGGATTCTGGGCGGAAGACGAAGAAGGACTGGAAGGTTTCATGTCAACCAACGATGAGAAGACATTTTGATTATTGGAGGAGAACGATGTGTTCATTGCGAGAAAGGTGTCTGGGCGGAATTTCAGGTTCAAGAAGAGAAAAGGAAAAGGACAATCAACAAGCA